TTAAACTTTATCAAGAAATCATTTATCTTTCAACTATATGTAGTAACACAATATTATGCTTCGTGAACATTTTTACATACGCACGACTTACAGTTGATCAAATTCCAATCACCTATGTAAACTTTTCAGATTTTCTATTATTAAAATAAGTAAATGAAAGAAAAACAACAACTTACCAATTTTTATGTTGAGTCAAAGCATTCAGTAGAACATCATAATTTTAATGGTTTTCAGTACATTATATTGATTTATGTATGTACGTATAAAGCACAGTCTGTGTGTACAAACGTTCTTCAAATGATGCTAAATGGGTCACATATATCACAGCGTGTAATCCGTAGGGTCACTCCAGGAATTGCAACATTACCAGAATATAAATTCTAGTTTACATTACTTGTCTTTCTGTAGGCGTGGGGCAAACCCAAAGAGAAGTAGACTATGAAATGTTTTTTCTATTTATATACATAAAACACTAAGATCAATAAAAGGTGGATTTTGTCCAATTTCTTTCATTAGAGCTAGATATGGATTGTATTCTACTACACCCATTTATACGGTTAGTGTCAAGTCCAACAGTCAAGTGGTAAAAGTCAGTTTCTATCTATCGTTACAATAATATTGTGGTTTTAAGGTGAATTTTATCTCCTGTGCACTAAATTTATGGACCACTGATGATCTTATGATTGAACATGGAGAAAACAAACGTGTCTCCCAATGTTTTATATTATAAAGATTCTATTTCATCAAGGTAGGGAAATGCGTAACATAAGTTAAGTTCTCTAAATGTTATTATGTTCAAGAATGTCAGAGAAAAATCTCAGATGAATGTTTTAACGAGACAAATTTTTCCTTTCTGTGTACAATATTTTGAAGAAGCTTACCAAGACGCAAAACAGCAATCCTTTGGTTATTTTCTAGTTGCTTTGAAACCGCCAACTCCAGACATCTGTATCACAGAACAGGACTGTTTTCCGATGGTAAAATTGTAATGTTTATACCCAAGTAAGATAAAAACCGAAACTTCATTAACATGATTGTAGTCATGATAAAACTAGAAGGATTTTATATAACTGATATTCGAAACTGTTGGTATTTGGTGAAACTCCATAATTAGAGAATTGGTGAAAAAAAAACAACAGACAATTGTACGTTTCACAAAACTACTGTTACGTATCTGCTTGTTTGTTAATTTCCGGTATAAATTCTTTACGAGGAACTTCAGTGATACAAGTCCTTTCTTAATTAAAACTAGTTTATTCTTCCTCGATACAACTTTGTAATAC